CACAGCGCCATCAATCCCACGGAAAGCAGAACTTGTGTTATGGGTACTAGCACAGATAATATAATATTACATACAGATACCCCATCCCATACAAGAAAATGGTTCCTTCCTAACTCGGGCTATTCTTCGGGCTATTTTATTTCGCCGCCGTAGGCGCTAGATGTTGCTATATCTGAAGCAGTTCGGATTACTAGTGGGTGATTAGTAATAAAGCATGAAAATAGATGGCAGAGAATTCGGTCTACATGACATCTGTTTTGCAAAGATACGTACATAATAGATATATAACTGTATCGAACTCCTGATTGGGTACAATCGAAAATTCAATGTAGGTATAATATTGTTCGCTGACAGTCTACAGACACGGCTAATGTACCTATGTATCTATGTACTATGTTACAGTTACTTTTTTACATGCCTACTTTTTTTCTCCCGACGAAGATATGTCGTAACGCGTCTGCACTAAAATCGGGCTATCGGTTAAGGAGCAATAGCTCCTTAACGAATAGCCCGATTTTAATACGGTTTTTTTTATTTAAATTGTTATGTGATAGTGATAGATTTTAGCTATAATCAATTAATGTGCATATGGGTACCTCATATAATTTTCAGTATATAATTATTTCTCAATATGTAGTTAATTACGGTAAACTGGCAATTTGTAAAACTGAAAATAATATCTGCAAACCATCAATCTGTTATATGTAGGTTCTTTCAGGGATACTACATCGGTGCTAATGACATGTAGGTACTTATTTTGATGTTATTATTAGAACCTTGATATCTACAAACTACGCCTTTACTGCTAGTTTTTTGGTATTTATGTAAGTTGTTATTCAGTTGAAATTAAGCTGCGAAATTACAGGATATTTGGACATAACATCTATGTTCTCCGGAATGATAACGTATGCGGGATATAGCGGGCACGACATGATGACGTAATGCTGTTTAATAATATATACGTAATATTATGTACGTCGGATAGCGTCGTGGTTGGATGGATCGTCAGCTTATTTACCATTTCAGTTCATAATAGTAGGTAGTAACTTTTGACAATATGGATGAAGGAGGGTAACGGTGATGATGATGAGATCAATAATGACTGTTGACGATAGTGACGGTGGTATTTATTTATGACCACCATAAAATTCATCATTGGCAGTATTCTCAACATTATCATCATTGTTCATCATGATGATTGAGATCAAATTAATTAATTGATTAAAAAAGTAGCAAGTATTAGGTAGGTACTAAGTCCTTATATGACTTAAATACAAGGTTCTGGGATGCTGTGATATACTACAGTCTCTAGATTTTGTTTCTTATTAGTACTCCACAACCAAAGTCTATAGACAGAGAAATATAGATTTACACAAAGTTTTTTGATGTAAATGGGAATTATTATACACATTGCATTAAAAAATATATATGATTACCATCTAATACAAAATCATTATGTAGTAAATAATTCCTGACATTTTAAATCGAATGAGGTGAAACTAACATTGCATGAACACAACACTTGAAGATCATAATTTTTATTTCAGGTAATAAAACACTTTAAAATAATTTATTAATCACAGAATAAACAATTGTTAATAATTTACAATAATATTTCTTTCACTGCTTGTCTGTTATACCACTAAAACTTCAAACACTTCTGTTATTTTTATATTATATTCCAAATAAATCAATATCAAGACATAATATTTCATCTAAATCATTTCATAATTAATTCCTGGTACACAAAATATTCCTGGATTTGTTGATGAAGCAATATAATAATAATCATGAGCTTAAATCATAAACTTATTTGCAGTCGGTTACACATAATATAATTACTTGGAATTTCTTCTCATCACTAGTCCGTTGCTTTCTTACTTATTTAATTATATTATTAATTGCATTGTGATTAATAAATTACAGATTTTTCTTCTGCTTTTTTCTCTTATTTTTACTTGCATTATTATTTTATACAGTAAAATGTTCATATATATATATATATATATTTCTTATTCTTTTGAACTCCTGTTCTTTACAGTAAAAATGTTATTTATCTTCATCTGAATGACTAGGAGATTTAGAATATCATCTCTTATTTGTTTAAACTTTGTTCAGTATTAAGTTGTTGATGTCAGGAAAATCTGAAAACAATATCATATACCATGTTACATTTTCATGAACTTACATGAATGAATTTACATGAAAGTAACTATACTGTAACCTTATTAGCACAATAAACATATTATTCATACATCATATTCATTCAGTTCTAATAAAATATAAAAATAATACTACTGTTTAGTACTTTATTTTGATTAATAATTTTCAGTATTTTCTCAATCAATCAAAAATTATAAAATCAGTGTTAGTTTTTTGAAGTTACATTCATAACAATAATAAAAACATAATAATACCACATTAAAGCGGTCACCAAGTACCTATGTTTATTATATTTTAATATGAAAGATACACACGCATGCATATGCAAGTTTTTAACAACTTATAGTTATACCTGGTATGAGATAATCCTCAAAGACACGATAGTTTACTAAATATTTGTAGTAGTCCTTAGACACATTTAAATTATTGAGTTTGACAAAAAACAAAAAATAAGAAGTTCAATGAACTCTGAACAGGAACAATTCAAAAGTTGAAGTACCTACTTAACTTAAATGATGAAAAAAGAGAAAAAATCCAATGCTAGTGAAAATATGTTTTAAGCATTTGACTTAAAGTCGTTTATCCTATTCTTTTATTCCTATATTTTATATTTTTAACATTTCATTTATGTTGCCAGTACTCGTTGTCATTTCGATATAATAAAAAAATATGGACCAACCTACGATTTTAAATCGATATTTTTATTTGTGATGAAATCTAATAATATAAATTATGAATAACCTACCCTCGAATGGAGATATTAAAAAACTAATTATCATGAATAGTAGGTACTAGGATCAGTAATATATCATAGTATTATGAATGATTATCGTTTCAAAACCTTGTACAATTTAGTAAGGTTGAAAATATCCTTCTACAAAAGCAAAATTCGAGTATTTGTAAAGTTTCTTATGAGTATTTTTAAAAATTCGAGGATCCTCACATTTAGCTACCAATGTCAGTAATTTAGATACCATATAACACTTGTTTATTGAGGTTTCATAAAGGTATAGCTGACCTTATATACTCTATACCACATTCAATTCTCATTCATTAAATTACAATAAGTAGGTATTTATTTTTTTTAATAGAAGAACTATGTCACTAATGTCATTAATTGCTATAATTACCAGGGTGACCGCGTGGAGGTTGATATAATAGAGTACACTTGTATCAGATCAATCTAATTAATATTTCCCTCTTCAAGTTTCGAAGTTATCAGCGAACAGATAAATATATAGTACTTGCATACCTGTCAAAATCTCTCTATTTTGCCGTCGTCGAGTAAAAATTATGCATTGCAATTCGTTCCAAATAAGAGTATAATACAAAATGATGAAATTTTACTGTTTGCAAAGACTAATTAAAAGCACCATCGAATAATGCGTTGTAATATCTTGTTATCGATTATTCGAAAAAATCGATAAATCTATGCATTTATTTTTAATATGGCAACACTTTCTAAATAAGTATTACTGGAATAATATGGTTTTCTTGTTTAGCTGTTTTATATTTACTTAAACTTTTTTTATGTTTAATTTATCATAATAATATAGTAAGTACTTATTATTTGAAAATATAAAATAAACATTTAAAATACGGTGATACAAATGAAAACAGCGCCATCTATGAAAGTATTTTGGAAACAATAAGCCCCAATTAGCAATGATTAAATTGTAAACAAATACAGGGCAACAACAAAATGAGTAAATATATGAAAATTACTTTTCAAAACGCATTATTTCATTTTAACATCTATATATGACTTTTTAAAAATAGATTAAACCTTTTTAAAAACATAGTTTTGGGTTTTAAACGATTACAAAACAATGTTGAATTCCATTCGATACCAATGACGCCATCTAAATCCGTTTTTCGAACTAAAAATGGCTACTATGCCATTGATCCCCACTGGTACTAGGTAGAGACTACATATAGATGAATATAGAGATGAATACAAATATTTGTACTGTGCGAGGAATCGAACCCGCGACCATTGGAAGTAAAGCGGCGTGCTAAACCGCTAGACCACCGTACCGACCACCGGTCGTCATAAATGCAGCCCACAATTTGCCTTTCATTCTCAACTTTGTCATTTACACAGGCACTGGTTCCGGTATACGCGGTTCCGAGAACACTTCACGACGACCGACATTTCAACTCTAGAACCCTTGTGCCTGCCAAAGGCAAGCCAAAGAATACATAAGAGCAGCCTGTTTAACGTTGAGATTTTTCTTGTATCTTTTCACTGTTTATAAAACAAAAGTAAAAAGATTACCTTACGCTACGTCCGTATACTGCGATATATTTCAGGAACTATTTAAAAATATTTATTTTTAAACAGTACAAGAATGTTTTTACTATTTCTCTAATAAACAAACTAGTTATTAATATATCAATAATTTTATAACATTGATATTATAATAATAAATTTAATTATAGACTATTTTAGAAAAGTACTAGATTATACAGCATATATTCAACGGCCTCAATGGTCTAGTGGTTTAGCACACCGCCTTACATCCGATGGTCGCGGGTTCGATTACTCGGGCGGTATAAACATTTGTATTCTCGAGTATGATGGTTTGTATTGGTCTAGAGATACTTTCTAGTTTGTATATTAAGTATGTATTTACATAAGTTGTCTTGTACCCATAACACCAGGTCTGCTTAGCTTGGTACTAGATGGCGCTGCGTAAATTGTACTACTGAGATATTATTATTAGATATTTTGGATTCAATTAATGCTACATTTTGCAACAAATAATACACATTGTTTAAATTGTTCTTATAATTATTAATACTTAATATAATATTACAAAAAATTAGCAACTCACCCGATCTGAGATGGCTTCCTCCATTTTACCCCGTTTTAAACTAGGCGCGCGTATCACATTTGTCGCTGGCGCCACCACGCTGGGAGGCGGCGCGTTCCCAGCATTGCCAATCGACACCGGTATGTAACCGGCCTCCATTCTGTCTTGTACTACATAGGTCCGCTACTCGGCAATAGATGGCGGTGTTTCGCAAAAATTAAAAACTAATCGATTCTTTCATTGCGATACATTAAACATATTCTCACTATTATTTTCCAAAATAACACTCTTCAATTCACTATATGGACGTATATGTACTAGAGGCATCGGCCGTATTCAGGAACTGATGAGATGAGCATTAACACTTTGAGCATTATTAACTGAATGGAATCAAACGAACTCCGAACGATACACTAAATGCACTACACGATCACTTATCTTTCAAACAATATACAATATCACAATCAAATCACTGTAAATCAAACGAGCATCACACCACCCTCGATGTTTTCCGATTTCTTTGTTTTCCTGAGTGAGGACGTCTATTCACTCACTCACTCTCAGCACCTGTGAACGAGACAAACAATCATGAGGTTAAATTGACTAAACATTAACTGAAGCTGCTTTCGAGTAGTGACAAGTTTTGCATCATTAAACAAAATAGGTTGATACAAATCGTTTTAATTCAACGTCAAGGTCGCAAATGTGAGGTCACTGGATTATTATTTATACACAAAGCTATTTAAATAAATCAGTGCTATTGTAATATGCATTTGCATACGTACGTCGTATTATTTTGTGATAAAGGCAGATACGAATATATCCCCCTACCTACATTTTATCTAGATTCATATTAATTTATGTAGAAAAAAGGAAGTTTACCGTCTATTTATTTTATTTTTATTTATTTATTTATTAAAGGTACAATATAAAGGTTACATTATATCCTTCAAATATAAGGTAAATGCACTGCTAATTATATAGGAAAAAAATCTGTACTTTACAATACGACAGTCTACTCATTTTCTACAATATGACAGTGACACAGAAATATAATATTAATTGTTGAGTATTAATTAATTTTACACAAATTTAAATCTTATTTTTAAATACATAATAATAATATTTACGTAGTATCATATTATTCAAATAATAAGATATCCCAAAGAGGGGTTATTGGTTTTTTTTTTTTTTGGGAGTGTTATGAAGACTGGTGTACAATTTCAAATTCGTCCATTAAATATAATATCCCAATTAATACAAAGTCGAAATTAAACTCTGTTACGGAAACGAAAATATTATTAGTATTTATTTAGTACGTATTACTCGCTGTCACGATAATGATAATCTTATCTTTATATCTACGTACATGGTGGTATGGTAGTTAACGACGCAGCCTGTAGTATACGCACGTTTCGAGTATATAGGTACGTACAGCACTGATCACGAATATAGTCACTTATTGGTATAAAAGTAACTATATTACAAAAATAATTAAGTTTCTTTTATATAACAAAAATATATAAAAATATTTTATACCTTTAATGAGTAAATGTCTACTACATCATCTACAAATTAATGCACGCGACTATACCTACCGCTCAAGGAAAACAGACGTAGTTTCAAGGTTATTATAATAAGTATGAAAACGTCAATATCATATTAAGATCATACTACCAGAGGGCCAATCATGTGCATAGATTATATAACTCTGTGGTAACAGGTCTTGTTCCGTTTAATGTTTTTGACATTCACAGGTATATAATCATGACCAGATTCGATAAGTACCTTAACTCTCAAACATATTGTGCCACAAATAGAAATAAATCCTGATGAAATAGGCTTTGGCGAAGTAATAGATAGAGAAGACTAAATAGGTACTGGGGATGGCTGATCTATGAGCATAGAAAAACTCAAATATTAATTACGCAATTTACTAAATATTTTAAAATAATAAAGGCTTCCATGTACAAAGAGGGACACACATAATTTGGCCCAGACTGTAGACGGAATAGATACTGTATTAAATTGAACCTATTTTCGTAATCCTGTCCGTCTCCGAACTCCGAAGAACGAGGCCAACATATGAGTGAATCCTGTTTATGGTAAAAATAATCGCCAAAATCCATCCAGACGATATCGCGAAGCATTCAAAAGCAATCAAATTAAAAATCTCTTGAAAAGTTTGGATTAAAAATCAAATAGGAAGTTGCAAATGAAATTCAGCTACATAATAGTTGACAATGACATACATTTCACGTATATTATCAACCCACTTGATAGGTAAGCGTGCGTATAGAAACAGTAACCAAGTAACCAAACCAGTCGCGGAATTTCGCCAACGCGCTACGCCTATTGTTAGCGAGAGTAATACATGCTCGGTATGCAAATATAAATGTTATGCAACCGCTTCAGGCGCGGTGAAATGGTACCAAGTAAAAATAACTACGTAGACTTTGTACAAAGTTGTCTGGGAAGACAGGGGTACCCACTGTCTCGCCTATTTCTGTCGCCAAGATCCTTGGTAAGTGCTATTGGTTGATGACACTACAGGACATGGACACGTGACTCCGAAACGCACCGCGGCCATAAACAATGATATGATGTCTGATGCTGTTCATGTATATATAAGAGACGTCTACCACTTACTTTAAAGGTTAGCCGTCAGATTAAGATTTCAGTTACATAAAAGACAATAGTGTCATATTTGATGATTATTTGTACAACTTCAATGCTACCCCACTTTCAGTGTTGTACAATTGCTGGCTCTGGGATCATATTGTAAGATAATATAGCAATTATGACATCTGATCGTAGTTCGGACAATAGCAACTCGATACCAATTCAATCGTTAACAAATCGATTATTCGAGCTCGTCCATGCATACAGAGAATCCATTATGACTGGATTATGCTCCACCTATTTGATGACAAATAAGTCGTCATTGGATTGCAGATATGATGCAGGAAACTATGTTTATACTTAATTTATTTTTACTCCAAAAATATATTATTAGTTTATAAACTTGAAACTAATATAATATAGTTATGAAGCGCAAATCTTCAAAGTTTATCTGAATATGGAGAGTAATTTCCAGAACTAATTCTATTTCATGTCAGAACGGGTCACTATTGACATATAAAACACTAGTAACCTGTTCCAGCTTCATCTGGGTTTTTATTAAGTTTGTGAGTTTTGTATATATTAACATAGTAAGTCATTTTGAAACCATTGCCTTACAAACAGTGAACGAACTTTTTAAATTGGAAGTGTTAAACTTTTTGAGTTTATTCAGTACAAATATACCAAATATCAAAACTTTCCATTTATAGTATAATAAGTATAGATAATACCTAATCTAACTACAAAGTTTAAAATGTTTAAATCATCGATTAGGATATCTTCACTACTATCAATCGATTTAAAATCAGATAACTCTCAATACCATTGTTGTTGTGTTTTCTTCTAAATAGATTTGTTTTAAGTTTCATATAGTAGTTCTGTAACGATCTCTTTTATTTATCTTACATACATCCGTAACCTACAATGATCAAAATATAGTACAGGACAAACGATGCATCCTACCAGTAGCTATAACTCTTCAAAATTCTATCTCATCAAAAATAAATGATATATTATAGGGACTTATGACGAGAATAATCAACTGCAGACGAACTGCCAACGGAAATTGTCGCCGCAGTACGCTCTGTTTAGCGTGCAGATGCCGAGACATTGTTGTTAGGGTTCCTGGCACAAAATGTATGTGTATCTTTATTGTTGTTTATGATTGTTTAAGTGCAGCAATATTAGTTTCTTTTATTTATTCATCCGAAACAATATAAATTGCTTAGGATAATATACAAGTACTAAAACAATTAAATAATTTCATTCCATTCGTTCCGTAATTATCTCCAGTTGAACTTTCTGGTTTTCTATATTATTTACATAAAGACCTAAATTTATATATATAGAATATTCTGTAAGTATACTATACTAGATATATACTACACTAGAGTATAATACTCCGTTTTCGCACGGGTATATATACTATACACTCTTCGTTATTGAAGCTTTATATAAAACTGTCATACATGAGTTTGTTGTATTGTCAATAATTTCCACAACGTACACGATATAATTTTATTTTTCACATACTTGTATTTTAATACCTAACATTAAAAAAAAATCTATAAATTATCCCAATTTAAGATTCTAATGGCAAAATAATTTTTCAATTCGGTCCAGTAGTTAGGAATAGAAGTTTAGGAGCCTATTCAATGAAAACAAGCAATGAAATCTTCCTCTTTATAATATTAGTATAGATATACATTACCGTCTATGTATATATGAATATAACTGATTATTTAAGAATTAAACTGTTCAAATGAGTCACAAAATAACCTACTTCTTTGGAACTAAAATAAATAATTCAACACGACCAAGTTAAACCAATAAAATTTTAGTAAAGTTGGCAAAATCGTTTAAGACTTGTTTAAAGTTTTATGAAAAATATTTAAGGTTATGCATTTAAAACTGACTCAATATACATATTAGAGAACCCGCAATCAAGTATCCGTTTTCCGCTTCACTATTTTTTGTACGCAGTTTCTCACGAGGCAATTTAGCACACTCTGAATACCAATGAACTTCTATAAAAAAAAAGCATTTTACATAAATAAGTTATAATCACTGTGATAGTCATGGAAATTCCACAAAGTTTCGTTTACGTTTGTCTTAGAATCATGTATGATAAACACATAAATATAAAGAGTTAACATAATTATGGAGTGTGTGTAATAACCCGAAATTTAAAGATAATATTCATGAAACTGGCCATATGTCCCCTTAAGAATAAGAAAATTATACATTACAAGTAACATTTTGTTTCAGAAATAACAATATGCATATTGCATATACAAGTGCCCATCTGGCATAAATATAACACATTAAATTTAAATGTAACACGGAAAATACTGTTGAACTGAGAACCTCCACTTTTTGACAATTGATGGAAACATAATGACTGCAGGTTCATGAACGATTTATGTTCTTATCATGTTCATGACGTAACAGCATTAGAACTAAGGCTTAAACCGTATAGAATAAAAAGTAACCACTTTCTTGTACATACTGGCCCTTTATATAAGTATGACAATATCACAAAAACAAACATAAATTATCCAAAATATACTTTTATTATATCTTATAGAGTACATCAAATTGATACGGTATACTTTTTTAATATAGTACTATTTTTGACTAGGCGATACTGCATTATAAGTTTATAACACTGTATTATATATATCATTCACTATTCTGAATTATTTTGTCTACTGTATAATTATTATATATATTATTATATATGGCTTCCTTTTTGTAATCTCACCCGTCTAACACTATTTCCAATAGATTTGTAACCCAGTTTTCAAATACAGCCTTATCGAGATAAAATTATGCAACTAAGCAAAACCGACAATGTGATATGACTGTGACAAGGATTGTCTCATCATCAGGCCAGTTGGTCTGATGATGAAGCTGGAAGTGCCTATAGAAACTCAACCAGTTCG